TAATAATAGGAGAAAGGGTGGCTCCAAAACTGACGGATAGTGCAATGTCTGCTTGAAACCTACCAAAGGGTGCTCTCAACTTGTTTCCAAGGAGGCACACCTCTGGACCCGACAAAAAATTGAGTTAATAGTAAACGCGCCCCGTAGGACGCTTTCAGCTATTAAACTGAAAAGAACAGATACTACACTCGATCAAAGCCAAAAGGCCGAGAAAGATGTTTTGTAGAAAAGGCTTACCAGTAGTGTATAAATGCCATTTCAAAGTGGCTTTGTTGGTGGAGAAAATTTGTGGGATTTGAATATTTTTAAACAAGTTTGAAAATAAAATTGTGAGGAATGAAAAAGCCATCACATACCTTTCATTGATCCATATGTTCAGTTACAAAGCTTTTAGTTCTTTATTGGCTTCGTCTTTCATGATCACTGGAGCGGAAAGAAGAAAAGCGTTTCGTTTGAACATGTGCTTCGCTTCACATAGAACAAAGCAAACTTGGTACTACCTAGGTATTGTTCTTGTGATGTCATATTGATGACATCGATTGATGGTGCGAAGATCGTTGTCGGCTGTTTTTTTTTTATTATTTAAAATAATTTGTTAACGGTAATATTTTTAAAATTACCAAACTTAACACTAGAGGGTATATTAAACCTTTTATTTTACAATTAATGTGCTCGTCTCGTGGTGTAATGGTAGCATAGTGGACTTTGAATCCATTGACGGAGGTTCGATTCCTCCCGAGACGGTAAACGTGGCGAGCCATGAAATTTTTATTTTCAAATTGTTCAAATTGATGCATCACTTGTATGTTAATTTTGATGATACTCCAGTTCACTCCATCAATTCCACACAAAATTTCTCCATTAAGCTGAAATACCGTACTCAACGGTCCAAAATGAACACTTTTACAAAAACTGAAACAGCCCATTCAATGATTCACTTTGCACAATTTGCTATCCACGCAAACGCTCCCAACACCAAGATTTCAAAGATTTCGCAGCAAACCAAAATCCAAATAAAAAAAATAA